CAAGTATATTGAGGAAGCTGTTTCAGGTCGAACACCATCCTACAGAGATCGACGTATGGGTTAATTCCTAGGTATCTACAGGCTATAAAGAAATAGGTAAGCATCCTCCACCCATTTGGCACGAGCTGTCCAGGGCTCATATTATGCTCGACCAATAAGGCCACAAAAAAGGGATGCAGAGGCCATCGAAATCCCCCCTTAAGTGAGTCCCTAAAGATCACGAACTCTCCATCCCGAGCAAAGGCCATCCTATCCTCTACCCCTGGCGTCCTAACGTCGCATTTGGGCATGAGCCCATGCTCCCTAGCCGTCGATATCGCTAGATGTTCTTTAAATTTACAGGGGACCTCGGGATACCTAAAAGGGGTCGGGATACTTTGTGCCCGAGGTTGGGCATTAATTGGGACAGCCATAGGTATGATTGAGCATCCTATGTCCTCGGGATTACTCCTCGAGGATGACGAGGACGAAGTGTCGCTACTGCTACTACTAGACATCCTGACCTAGGTAAAAAATACCTAAAGAATAACTTAAAAACTCGAGGTCTTACCTTAAAGTCGACGCCTAAAAACTCAAAGTCCGATCCCAACGATTAGTGAGAGAAATTTACTGAGAGTAAAAAGTGAAAAATGAAATGAGGGGAGGGTATTTATAGGCAACAGGAGCAGGAAGCTCAAAGGTCACTACCCCAACCGTTAGATCTGGACACGTGTCCTACATCTAACCCTACCAGTTTTTACCGCCTTTTCCATTTCTAGGGCTGACGTCAGTACACGTCAGCCTTCTGATCAAGCACAGGTGTTCAGAAATGCCCGAGCTAAAACTCGAGCTTTTATTTCTAGTCTCTTTGCATCATATCCTCGAGCATATTTTCGAGCATATATGCACGGGGGCCTATGATGGTGACATTTTTCCATATCCCGATCAATTATCCCGAGGACTAGTTTTGATAAAGTTGTAAATTCATATGCGGTGTCCTCGAGCATGTTCATCCTCGAGACACTGTGCCCGACCACAACTCCATGCTACTTCGCATATTGCAACCATATGTCCTCGGGCATAGTCCTCGAGAATGTGCTCTCCCTCGCTACTGACGATTGTTAACCCTTTAAAATTCCTACGCAATTAGGAATCTTAACTCCCAGAAGAATCCTATCTCACGTATAATTCTGGAATTCAACCAACTTCTTAACCATTCAGGACTCCAACAAATGATGACATCCAGCTAGTTGAGTCCAATTAGGAGAATGTCACTTACCACTATAAATACAGAACCTTGAACCATTATTCAGGTACGTTTTCACATTGTTCTTCAGTACATAGCCTCACGCATATATTTCCCCTTTCTGACTTAAACATCGGAGGGGCGACGAGAACACACCTCGTTGCCTTTGTTTCAGGTATCGGAAGATCACGTTCGTGCTCCTTACCAGTCATCAAGCTCGAAAAATCTGCAGGTACGATTTTTGGTAGTATCAGGACAGAAAACTAAAAAACAACTGTATGCAGGACAGAAGAACCACTTCACGAAATTCTTTCTTCCTTTTAAATGGTAATTTTTTATTTTATTTTTTTGAATTCTATCTTTACTTGAAGTATAGCCTTGTCATTTGACAGCAGCTGTTTCTACAAAGATTTAATTATTATTATTTTTTTCTATGGTACAGCTCTGTGAGTCTTAATCATGGCAGCATCAGTTCAAGGTCACATTGTGGAGCAAAGACATGAGCTTATGGTTTGTCTCACTGGAGGCATACCAATTTGGAGAAAAGCCCATTTTATTAAACCATCCATTTCATCCATTGATGGACCAACCATAAAGCTTCCATCTCTGTCCCCTATGCCAATTTGGCCTCTTGAAGTCGTTTTCAGTGGGTGGATGGATCCAATCAAGAAATGGAAAACATGGGTCGACAAATTGGAGTCAAAATACCACTCTTTCTGGAAAAAGGTCGGGATATATGAAGCTATCAAGGCGTCCCCGTGCATAATACATGATGATAGTGATTTGATTTTCGGGCTTGCAGAAAGATGGTGTTCTGAGACTAATACCCCTTTTTTGCCATGGGGTGAGGCAACTATTACATTGGAGGATTTGCTGATTTTGGGCGGTTTTTCAGTTTTGGGCAGTCCTGTTCCTCTTGAGTCCCCGGAACTTGTTGATATTGAAAATCCTTTCATCAGTTTTACTACAAATAACCATTGTCAGTGGTTGACTATGTTCATGGATGAGGGCACTGAATCTGAGCACATAGCTTTTCTTTCTCTATGGTTGTCAAGGTTTGTTTTTCCAGGAAACGTACTGGATCATATTGGTAATCATGTTTTTCGGATTGCAATTTACCTTGCTCGAGGAACCCGGTTGGCGCTCGCACCTGCTGTTCTAGCTAGCATATATAGGGACATGGGCCTGTTGAAAGCATCAATGGCTGATTCAACTCAGATAAAGGATGGCAGCTTTTTGTCCTTTGCCCTTTGGTCACCATTGTGTTACATTCAAGTCTGGGCTTGGGAGAGGCTGCCAATACTGCGCCCGAAGCCTAATTTCATGAAGTCAGGAGAGCTTTGACTGGCTCGTTGGAGAGGCCTTAAAAAACTTGATATTGGGAAAGTGAGACCAGCTATTAATTATGCGGGAGAGACTTTTCTTTGGTGACCATACGCATTGGAAGTGGATAATTGGTCAATCCCTAAACTGTACAAGGAAAAGGAAGATTGGGTTGTTGGATACGATTTAGATTCTGAATTAGAATCCTTGGCTAGATGTTTGAGGCCTTCTAAACTTGTTTGGATTGATTGTCAAGAACCTAATAATGCATATCGAGTAGCTATGCAATTTGGACTCGATCAAGATCTACCTGGATGGATTTCCTGGGACAATATAAGCCGTGATATTGCCTGGTACAATTTTACGAGGCCTTTAAGCTATGATAATTGGCTATATCTTCCATCTAGACTTTCTGAATCGGATGTGACTGCACGGTATTTGGAATGGTGGAGGAAAATAGTTTTATGTCCGGTTGATGACTTCAAAAATGTGGTAAAACGACAAAGAAGTTCACGAGTACCTCGTTATCGTCCAGATAAGTTAATGAAACTCTCATTTGGCAAGGTTGCAATTTGGTATCAGATTCCAGTGCGATGACGGATCGTCTAGCCAAGCGAAGCATTATCCTGCTGCTTTATTTCAAAGCGCTTCGACTACGACTGGAGGGGTTGGATTGTCTTCTAAGATGAAGCTAATAGTAAAACAAGAAGAAGTTACAGAGCAAAAAAATTCAAGCACCGACCGTGATGTCCCTCCTGGTTTCCTACCCAAATCCCGTGAAGGAGAAGGAAAAAGTATGTTGCAAACTTGTAGAAAATTCCAAAGCAATGAGGACAGATCCTCGTGCAATTCAGCTGTGCTGCTCATTTTCATAGTTCTTCATTTACTATGGCAGGTTTGAAGCCATCGAGAAAGCATGGAGAAGATTTTCTACACATTGCAGGTGTAAGAATAACAAGATCAATGACAAGGTCAAAGACAGACACAGACAAATTTTAAGGGCATAGAGATAAAATGCAATGAGGAGAGATCATCCTCCAATGTAGCCTCACAAAATGCACCCTGGGATAAAACTGGGAGGACATAATGTGCAGGGTAGGCTTGCAATAGGAAAATCTGTCATGGTCGAAGAACAAGCTCATGGGATTACAAGTGGAGAAAATATATCGATTCAGAAAGGAGATATCGTGACTAAATCTGAGTCGACAAGAATTTTGGAACTTGAAGCTCGCAAAAGAATGCTCGAGAGTGAACTAGCAACGCTGAAGAAATAGTTAACATGAACAGAACATGCTGCTCATCATGTTTCTGAGATTACAATCTTATTAATTTTGTTTCTTACCTTTATTTTAACTTCCCTATATTTTAGTTTAATGGAGAAATGACATTATTAGCTTTATTGAACACCAAAGAGGAAATTAAACACCCAACTGTTGCAATTTGTCTTTTAAACAAGACTTATCTCTGTCAAAACACTGATTTTGTGTTTACTTGAGCACTAACAATATAGTATTGTATTCCTAGTTTGCAAGTAGCCATGAGATTGGTCTAAATACACGTTAATTTGACTAAGAAGAAGTTAATACTATAGTTTCTTTTTTGGGAACACCAATCATAACTTTGTTATTAAGGTAAACTGCTGAGAATCACAAGCAAAAGAAAGCACGGCATACAATGAGTTCAACGAATTATATCAACAATATTAAAAGCAAATGAAGCAAGTTCGTGGGCCGCCTTATTCCCAAATCTAGGAACATAACGGCAAAAACCACAACCCATAACAACTAATAATGCTGAAACATCAAGAAGAACGTTGGCATTGGGCGTAAGAATACCGACATTTTGCAAACTTTGGACCACTCGAAGAGAATCACATTTGACGATGAAGTGTGGAGAGACGTGTTGCGAAGCGTTTTTGAAAGATCTTCAAATCAGTAATTTCCAGGCTCAGTTCAACGTACCTTTCTCTACCAATCGGCTCCAAACCACAATCTATATAATTCATCTCGGTTGCTATTCAATCTTATAGACACCACAAAGGTATATTATGAAGGAATCACTAATTACACAAAGTAAACAAGCGTTTTGGACACTTCTAGAGACTGTTTTTTCACACACAAAGGGGCAGTCGGGATTCCTTTATTTTTCTCACAAAACCACACAAAATATCACTAGAAAATGGCTAGGGTTATGACCATATATATACTCTAGAGTTAGACTTTAAGTTGGACCATTAAAGAGGTAAATGGGTCAAAATTCAAGTCATCCAAGAGGACATACAATTGAGTCGGGTGTAAATCATGGACTTGATAGTTGGACTTATTTCATTCATCGGCCTATGTCTATGAAATAATTAACCCACGTTAACATCATAACCCGAGATTTATTGGATATCAAAAAACCCAACAAGACGTACGATGTGCCAGAAGTAGACCTTCAATCTAGCGCTACGAGCTCCGTCACCTCCACCGGAAAAGTCCCCATAACCTGCTTGGCATGCGCACTTGCGCAGCCATGACCACTCCCCATTCATCACGGATCATTGCCCCGACTCCCATCCACCCTTCACCATGCCGACGGCTGCATGGTATTCAAAATAGTTTATTTGTAAAAATATTAATAATACATACAGATATCATCACACTAGTAGCAAATTAATGTGATGTAATTAGTTAAAACAAATTAAAAATGCTCAGAAGTTTTTTTGGCAATCCAAATTAATCTTGTGGTTTGTTTGATTGTAAAGATGTAATTGAATTGAATTGAAAACAAATTTCAAGGAATTGAATTGCATATAAATTGTTTTCCCGAGAATTGTAAATTATTGTGTTTGATTGGTATAATTTTTCACGTGAAAAATGTTGAAATAAAAATATTTTTTGATATTCGTTTGACTTTGTTTTACATGCAAATTGTCAATTAAATGGATGGAATTTACTGGTATTGGAAATGAAATTTGTTTCTATTGCCAAAAAAAAAAAAAAAATTTTTTTTTAGAAAATCATCTATCTTTTGGTGCTCGTTTTATATGAAATTTGTCAAGTAAAGGGAAATATTTTTTTACAATAATTCTTACAATTTGTTTTCATTGAAAAAAAATAAAAAATCGCTACAGGAAACCAGAATTGGAATATTCCAATTCCTTGAAAAGCTGGAATTTGATTCTTCCCAAGACAAGCTAGAAAATGGATTCCTTGAAAAAAAAAATGATATCAAACAGGGCAAAGATAAAAAATTGATTTGATTTTCCATTTTCCATGAAAAATTTTACACAATCAAATGGGGGCTTAGGGACATATTTTTCATGGAATTGCTCAGAAAAACTGAGTGGGCAGCTTAATGTCTCGTGGCGATTTTAGTGAAACATTCGTTCGTATAATTTGTTGAACAACAAAATTTTCATTTCATTAAGAAAAGCTTGGGCCAAAAAATTTAAAAAAAGACCTTTTTTTAAGGGCTATTGAATTGTTTGCCGAACTACCGAAAATTCACTTTTATTGCATCACTAGGATATTGTGTATAGAAAATCCTAGAATATTTTCGATTTTTTTTTTTTTTTTTCAAATAGAGAGCATAGAAATTGTTAGAATATTTAGGCATGTTTGATAGAATTTATTTGGAAATAATGATTTATTGAATAGTATTTTTTAGAGAATATATGATTAAAACGTAAGGAAACTTTATTGATTTACGTGTAAAATATTTTATTGTGTAAATATGTGATGAAAAATGATCATGTAGCAAACAATTTAAATTTTTAAAGGATGAACAGGGAAATGATTTTTTTTAGAAAGAAAGCTTATCTTAATAGTCGTGAATGTCTTGCTAGATTTTGGTCTCTAACTTATAAGTTCTTAACCTTTTATTTTAGTCACACCCATGATCTCAATAGATGCAATACTAATAAGCTTTTGTTTAGTATAGATTAAAATTGGATTTGTAGTAAATTTTGATAAGAAAAATTAATGAAATGTATGACTATTGACTTTGATTTAAAATTAAAATCAGATTTTAATCATAAACAAACGGTGATAAATTAAACAATAGAAATGAGAAAAATAAAAGGCCCCGACCCCACTACGCTACTGGCCATCATCCCCTATGGCCCTACAGTTCTGCTCCCAGTGACAGAAAAATATGCTCGCACCTTAAGAGTGCCATTGCCATGGAGGCACCAGAATCTCGTTATTTTTGTGGCAATTGGAAAGTTTATTTACCTCTCTACTGTTCTTTAAATAGATAGTTGAAATTCATTTTTTCTTTTCACCCTTTATGGTACTTGTGTTTATCTTCTCTTTACCTGGATCAGACCCTGTCGTTAAATTTATTTATTTTTAATTGTTTTCCTTTTGTATAATTTTGTGTCTTCATCATGGTAGAATCAGTTCACGAAACCATTATGGAGCAAAGAAAAGAGCTAATGGTTTCACCCACAGGTGGTATACCAACTTTGAGAAAAGCCCATTTTCTTAAACCCTCTGTTTCCTCCATTGATGGACCACCCATGAAGCTTCCATTTCTGACACCTAAACCAAAATGGCCTCTTGAGGTGAATTTCAATGGATGGAGGGATCCAATCAAGAAATGGGATAAATGGGTCGATAAGATGGAGTCTAGGTACAACTCTGTCTGGAAAAAAGTCGGGATTTACGAAGCTATCATGTCGTCTACGTATAAAATATATGTAGACAGTGATTTGATTTTTGGGCTTGCAGAAAGATGGTGTTCTGAGACTAATACATTTATTTTTCCATGGGGTGAGGCTACTGTTACATTGGAAGATATGCTGATTTTGGGTGGTTTTTCAGTTTTGGGTAGTCCTGTTTCATTGCCTCTTGATTCCCCGGAACTAGTTAGTATTAGAGATTTTCTAGTAAGACTTGATACAAATATCCATTCTAAGTGGTTGAAGATGTTCATGGGAACCGGAAGTGAATACGAGCATGAAGCCTTTCTTTCTCTATGGTTGTCGAGGTGTGTTCTTCCAGGTAATCAACAGGATAAGATTGGTGAACAAATTTTTCGAATCGCAATTCACCTTGCCAGGGGAACCCGGGTGGCTCTAGCACCTGCTGTTCTAGCGAGCATATATAGGGACATGGGCTTGTTAAGAGGATCGATGGTTGCTTCAACTCAGATGGAGGCGTTTGACAGTTTTTTGGTAATTACCCTTTGGTCACCATTGTGTTATGTTCAAGTTTGGGCTTGGGAGAGGCTGCCGCCACTGCACCCACAGCCTAATTCTATGAACTCCGGCCAGCTTCGACTGGCTCGTTGGGAAGGCCTGAAATATGATATTGGGAATGTGAGGCCGGCTATTAATTATGCTGGAGAGACTTTTCTTTGGAGACCATATGCATTGGCTCTGGATAATTGGTCAATTCCTAAGTTTTATAAGGAAAAAGAAGCATGGGTTGTTTGTAAAGATATGGATTGTGCATTTGAGTCATTGGCTAGATGTTTGAAGGTGTGTAAACTACTTGGTATGGATTGTGAAGAACCTTATAATCCACATCGAGTTGCTATGCAATTTGGGTACGATCAAGATCTTCCTGGATGGGTTTCCCGAGACAGTAAGTTTCCTGATATGGCCTGGTATAATTTTTTCAAGCCATTAAGTGATGATGAGATGCTATATCTTCCGTCTAGACTATCTGAATCAGATGTGACTACGCGGTACTTGGAATGGTGGAGGAAAACAGTGTTGTGCCCAGTGAATGCCTTTAAAGGTGTGGTGAAACGACGGAGAAGTTCGCGAGTACCTCACAATCGTCCACACAAGTCGAAGCAGCTGAAAACAGGTAATGCTCCTTTAGCAACGCTGCAAACTCGTAGTAAATTCCAGTGCAATGAAGGATTGCCTCGGAAAGTGAAGCCTTTGCAGGCTGCTTTATTTCAAAGTGTTTCGCCTATGATTGGAGGTGTTGGGTTGTCTATAAAGATTAAGCCAGTAGTAAAACTAGAAGAAGATACGGAACAACATAATTCTAGGAATTATCCTGATGTCCCTCCTGGTTTCCTGCTCAAATCCGTGGACATAAAAGGAAAAAGTACAAGAATACAACGATTGATAAAGCAAGAAGAAGATGCTAGTGAAGTTGCAGGAATAATAAAAACAAACACAGCTGCAGATAAATTCGGACAATCTAAACAACTGAAAACTGTCTGTTATCTTGATGTTCCTCCTGGTTTTCCACCCAGACATAAACAACTGAAAACAGTCCATTATTCTGATACGCCTCCTGGTTCCCCCCCCAAATGTATGGTCATAGAGAAAAAATGCAATGAGGAGAGATCATCATGCAATGTGCCTTACAAAATGCAACATGGGATAACACTGGAAGGACGTAGTGAGCAGGCTAAACTTGCAAAAGGAAAATCCATCGTGGTTGAAGAACGGTCTCAC